ACACAACATGGCACACAACATGGCACAGAACGCTGCCCTGCCTGGCCAGGCTCAGCCCCTCCATCCCTCTGAGCTCTCAGCTTTTTTCTGTGGCTGTGCCAGGGACAGGAGGGCACAAACCTCACTGTGCCAGGGACAGGGGGCACAGAGCTCACTGTGCCACAGGCAGGAGAGGGCACAAACCTCACTGTGCCAGGGACAGGGCACAGAGCTCACTGTGCCACAGGCAGGACAGGGCACAAACCTCACTGTGCCAGGGACAGGGCACAGAGCTCACTGTGCCAGGGACAGGGGGCACAGAGCTCACTGTGCCAGGGACAGGGGGCACAGAGCTGGCTGCAGCCTGAGCTCCTGCTGCAGGAAACCCAGCAGAACACCAGCCCAGGGCTCCATCCACAGCTGCAGAGTGCTGGCCTGACCCAGCCCTGGCTGCTCCTCCCCTGGCACTGCCCCTGCTCTGCCCTCTGCACAGCACTGCACTAATTACACTCATTACCCTCTGCTCCATCCCTGCCCAGCAAGAGCAGGAGGTCACCCTGTCCCAGTTGAGCAAGGATGGGTCAATAAATGCAAACACTGATAAAAGCACTGGTGAAGGTGCTGCTGGCACAGCGTGTGGCACGAGGAGAGCAGAAGGAACCCCTCAGACCCCACTAACACAAACCTGGCACTGCAGGATGCCCCTAACACAACCCTGGCACTGAGTAACTCATCAGCCAACCCACTCAAAGAGGCCAGAGAAGAGCAGAGGAACAAGACAAACACAAAGGGACCAAGGGGTTGATCAGATCTGGCAGCCCCAGAGGGATCAGTGACCCCTCTGGCCACCAGCCCTGGGGCTGGCACCTCCCTGGTATCCTGAGCAGGTAAACTCTGCTCCTCTGAATCAAGCCCATCTGTATGCAGTCCTGCTTAAATCTGCATTTCCAGAGAAACCTAATTGTGGATTCCTCTTCTCATAAAAACAGGATTTAATTCTCACTCAGCAAGTTATGAGGCAGCAGGAAAAAAAAAAATGTTGAGGTGAGACTATTACAATCAGCTTTGTTGCTCTCTGCTTATCTTAGAAATCAATATAAATACAGCAAATCTTAATTTAAATATTCTCAATTTAATAGCAACTTGTCAGTAAAACCTGGTGTACTTGGAGTCTTTTTCTTTAAATCAACTTATATGCTTTGGTTGCTACAGAGGCTGGGAGATTTAATTCAATACACAAAGCATAATTCCAACCCTCCTGTGTTAAAAATATTCTTTAAATAAATAATAGATCAAAGCAGTGTCACTTTGATGGCATATGCAGTCCAGGCAAGGGGGAGAGGAAGGATTAAATGTTTTCAGAGCAGCCCTCCTGGAGGAAGGGGCGGGGGACACCAGTGAATTCTCACTTATTTTCTCTACATTTACCACTCATTACTCTGCTGATTTGATTCTCCCCTTATCAGAGCTCTGCCTTCTAAAGAACCTTCAACTCCACATAAACTCCGGGGTTTGTAGAGCAACAAAGCAAGATGAAAAGAGGAGTCACTGCACTCCCAGATCTGTGAATCACTTCCTCTAACTGTAGTAGAGCTCTGCTCACTCCCCATGACTCCTCCATGAATAAGGCAAAATCTGCTCGGGGCTTCCATGATTCACTGGGGAAATGGGAATTCACTGGGGAAATGGGAAATCACAGGGGGGAAATGGGAATTCATGGGGGCAGATGGGAATTCATGGGGGGAAATGGGAATTCACAGGGGAAATAGGAATTCACAGAGGAAATAGGAATTCACAGAGGGAGATGGGAATTGACAGGGGGAAATGGGAATTCACAGGGTGAAATGGGAATTCACAGGGGGAAATGGGAATTCACAGAGGGAAATGGGAATTCACAGGGGGAAATGGGAATTCACAGGGGGAAATGGGAATTCACGGGGGGAGATGGGAATTCACGGGGGGAGATGGGAATTCACAGGGGAAATAGGAATTCACAGAGGGAGATGGGAATTCACAGAGGGAGATGGGAATTCACAGGGGGAAAAGGGAATTCACAGGGGGAAAAGCGAATTGACAGGGGGAAATGGGAATTCACAGGGGGAAATGGGAATTGACAGGGGGAAATGGGAATTCACAGGGGGAAATGGGAATTTACAGAGGGAAATAGGAATTCATAGAGGGGAAAAGGGAATTGACAGGGGGAAATGGGAATTCAGAGGGGGAAATGCCACAGCTTTACCTGCCCTGGGAGTGCAGAGCCTTGTCTGGGCTCACCTTTGAGCCCCTCTCCATTCAGGGCCAGGCTGGGGTGTTTAATGGCAGGGAATGGCCCCAGGCTGGGCTGTGAGGAGCTCACGGATCACACTGAAGGTTCTGGAATGTTCCCACACTCAGCCCACAGGCAGAGGCACATCCCCTGCAGCAGCAGCAGCAGCAGCAGCAGCCCAGAGAGAGGAGCACACCTCAGCTCCATCAGCCCTGGCTCATAGCAAAGGCACCAAGAGACAAAAGGAGCTGCAGGAATTGGGGATGGGGACAGAGGCTCCCCCTGGGCCTGCAGGGAAGGAAGGGGCTGAGCCATGGGCTGGGCTGGAAGGACAGAGGGACACCAGGGGCTGTGGGCACTGACAGGGCTGCAGGGCACTGGGACAGTGTTGCAAGGAGAGGGAAGAGAATAAACTTCCTGAAAACAGCTAAAAGTGGAAGTAATTAATTTGTGATGCCAGAGAGCAAAACAAAGCAGCTCAGGAACAAAAAGGGGGAAATCTACAGCCCATCAGCTTCACCCTGATGGCACAGGCTGCCCTCACAGGAAAACCCCACAACACCAAGCTCCTGGGGTTTCTGCAGGTGCTCCATTCCCTGGACAAACCTGTCCCATGGGAAAACAGCAGCAGGAGGGAGCTGCCCTCCCTCCACCTCCTGCTCATGGACACGAGGTCAGACCTGACCAGATTCTGTGAACTGTTTGCAGGGTTAGCCAAATTCCAGCTCACTGCATGGAAATATTCACCCCAGCCATCCCCCCTGCAGCACTGCAAACCCCATCCTCAGCCCCTTCCCTCCCCAGCTGAGGCTCTGCCCTTGTTACCTCACATTCAGCACCCAGGAGACAGCCAGTGACAGCTGAAAAGGGGAACAAAATACAAGACATGACAAACAGCTGCTGAGATCTAAAGGTAATGAGGTTGAGCATTCTCAAATCAGCTGCTCTTGCTCTCTCAGGTGTCTTTACGTGCTTTTGGTATCTTCCTAGGCACCTGTTCTTAAACAAAAAGTAATTAAACACAACAGCAAGTTTGTCCAGAGGATCCCTGATGCAGACACAAACAACGCCTGAGCTGCAGCACTGCCCTGGTGTGAGGTCATTTGGTGTACTGGTGTTTGAGGTCATCTCCATTTGGCAGAGAAAGCAGAAGGACTAAACTGAAAATTTGAGATTTGCTTCTATTTTCTTCTTTCACAAGAGTCAGATTCAGCTTCTTGGATAGTGAGCAGGGCCCAGCCCCACTGAGCTCATCCCAGAGAGCAGCAGCAACAGCCACGAGGTTCATGGCACAGAGAGTCCCAGGGGAGGGAACTGCAGCTCCACAGAGCCAGGAGCAGGAGCTGGGCTGGGATGGCCACTGATGGGAGCAGGCACATGAAACATTTCACAGCAGCCACAGAGAAGCCCTGAGCACCCCCTGATCTGTGCTGCTGCTGCTGCTGCACAACCTATTGATCAGCACAAGCAGGGCAAAGTCATTCCTGAATTAGAAACAGGCAACTCTGCAGATCAGGGATGGAGGAACAGGAAGGCTCCCAGGAAGGACCTAAAATAGCCCAGCAAGCTCATCACACCTCCACAGTCTAGTGGAGAAAGTCTCCTGTGTGCCAGAAGCCTTTGGAGCAGAGCACCAGCGTGGTGTCTGTGCTGCCTTCACATCACACCCCAAGGCTCAGCTCCAGCAGTGAGCTGCCAAGTCCCACCTTCAGATCATGGTTCAGAACTTCTGAGCAATGCAATTCCACTCTGGGAACACTGAGACTCAGGCACAGCCTGGGCACAGAAATTACAGCTTGAATTTCAATGAGTTCTTCCATCCTTTACAAGAGGAGCATGAGCATGACAGAAATCTGGTCACCAGAAAAACCCAGAAACACCTACAAACACAAAGTTATGGGGGCAAGAACTGGGAGAGCCAGCAAGGCTGGAACCCTAAGCAGCTCCCAAGGGCAGGATGAGTGCAGATGATGTCCAGGACATTTCTTAGGTGCTTGCTTTGCTCTTCACTGAGCCATTGAAGTGTCCCACAGAGGCAGCAGAGGATCCCAGACTCCCAGCTGGGACATGTCTGTGTCACCCCCAGTGCTGTCAGTGACACACAGCAGGTCCCCAGACACCCCAGGAGCTCCTGGAACACACCAGAGCTCCATCAGAAAACCAAGTCCTGCCCCCAAAATCTCACAGCCTGTTTGTACCCAGGAGTTCCTGTAACACACCAGAGCTCCATCAGAAAACCATGTCCTGCCTCCAAAATCTCACAACATCTCACAGCCTGTCAGTGCACAGGACAGCCTCAGTGTCCCCTGCACCCAGCACTGCTGGCACAGCAAACCCACGCAGCTCCAGTGCAGCTGCACCCCCAGACTGCTGCAATTCCTGCACCTGCAGCTCCTCCTGAGCTCGGGCACTCCACAGCCTTGCCCAGAACACACCAAGCTGCATTTAAAGAGCCCAAGTGATGGAGCTGCTCCATGAGCACCACACCAGTGCCTCTGGGGCAGCTGCAGCTTTGCTGCCCTAAACCCTCACCAGGACACAAACCACGGGATCCACAGCCAGCGTTTCACCTGGCCACAGCTCAGCACCCCTCACCAGGACACAAACCAGCTCAGCACCCCTCACCAGGGCACAAACCACATTATCCACAGCCAGTTTCACCTGGCCACAGCTCAGCACCCTCTGAGCTCCGACTCCTGCTCCACCTGTCCCCCGAGTGCTCCTGTGCAAACCCCGCGGTGCCCTGGAGCATTACCCGGTCCTTCATCCTCCAGCTCTGAGCCAAAGACTTGGAGCCCTCGATCTTCTCGCAGTGCCTCTTCTTCATAAAGGCCAGGGGCAAGTTCCAGTCCGTCAGGTCGGACTCATCCTCCTCCCCGAGCCCCAGGAGAGGGGACTGCAGCATCTCAGACTCCATGGGCGGCGGAGCTCCGGGCACCGGCTG